GATGAAGTGAGGATGGTGTTAGATAGAGTGAGGATGGTGTTAGATAAGTGAGGATGGTGTAAGATAATGTGGGGATGGTGTTAGATAAGTGAGGATGGTGTTAGATAAGTGAGGGATGGTGTGTAGATAGAGTGTGAGGATTGTAAAGATGAAGTGAGGGATGGTGTTAGATAAATGAGGATGATGTGTTAGATAAGTGAGGATGGTGTTAGATAAGTGAGGATGGTGTTAGATAAGTGAGGATGGTGTAAGATAAGTGAGGGATGGTGCTAGATAAATAAGGATGATGTTGTTAGATGAAGTGAGGATGGTGTTAGATAGAAATTGGGATGATGTTAGATAAGTGAGGGATGGTGTTAGATAAATGAGGGATGATGTTAGATAAATTGAGGATGGTTTAGATCAGGTGAGGGATGGTGTTAGATGGTGGGGTTGTGTAAGATAAGTGAGGATGGTGCTAGATGAGAGTGAGGGATGATGTTAGATGAAAGTGAGGATGGTGTTAGATAAGTGAGGGATGGTGTTAGATGAAGTGAGGATGGTGCTGAATGAAGTGAGGATGGTGTTAGATAAATGGGGATGATGTTAGATGAAAGTGAGGATGGTGGTAGATAAATGGGGATGATGTTAGATAGAGTGAGGATGGTGTTAGATAGAAGGAGGATGGTGTTAGATAAGTGAGGATGGTGTAAGATAAGTGAGATGGTGCTAGATAAGTGAGGATGGTGTTAGATAAATGAGATGATGTGTTAGATAGAGGTGAGGATGGTGTTAGATAAATGAGGGATGATGTTGGATAGAGTGAGGATGGTGTGTTGATGAAAGTGAGGATGGTGTTAGATAAGTGAGGATGGTGTTAGATAGAAACAGGGGATGGTGTTAGATGAGTGAGGATGGTGTTAGATAAGAAGTGGGGATGGGTGTTATATGTGAGGGGATGGTGTTAGATAAGTGAGGATGGTGTTAGATGAAGTGAGGATGGTGGTTTAGATAAGAGGTGAGGATGGTGTTATATAAGTGAGGGATGGTGTTAGATGAAAGTGAGGGATGGTGTTAGATAAAGTGGGGATGATGTTGATAGAGAGTGAGGATGGTGTTAGATAAGTGGGGATGATGTTGATAGAAATTGAGATGGTGTTAGATTAGAGTGAGGATGGTGTTAGATAGAGTGAGGATATGGTGTTAGATAAGTGAGGATGGTGCTTGTAGATAAGTGAGGATGGTGTTAGATAGAATGAGGATGATGTTAGATAGAGAGTGAGGGATGGTGTTAGATAAATGAGGATGATGTTAGATGAAGTGGGGATGGTGTTAGATAGAAGTGAGGATGGTGTTAGATGAAAGTGAGGGATGGTGTTAGATAGAAGTGAGGATGGTGTTGGAAGAGAGGGATGGTGTTAGATAGAGGTAGGATGGTGTTATATAAGTGAGGATGGTGTTGAATGAATGTGGATGATGTTAGATGAAAGTTGAGGGATGGGGTGTTGTAGTTAGGTGAGGGGATGGTGTTATATAAGTTGGGGATGGTGTTGGATAAGGTGAGGGGATGGTGTTAGATGAGAGGTGAGGGATGGTGC